ACTATATATAATCATATTATAAATGCTTATAATATAGGTGTTAAATCAAAAAAGCAGAAGATAAAGTTGTAAATGACCATTAGTATAATGTTAAACACAAAGATAGTTAATAGAAGTTGTACTTGATGTGTTTAGAATGTGATTTTTACTTTTTAATCTATATCACTATGCTATTTCTTTTAGAGTGAAAATATAAAATACTTTAATTAAAAATAGATATCATTATAAATAAAACACTGACTTTAATTTGCTATTTTGTTTTTCTGCTCTGTATAACCCTAATCAGGGAATATAGCTGTGGTATACATAAATCCCTCATTGAAGAGCAGTTTTTACACCAAAAATTCTTATGATTGTTACAATTACATATATTTCAACTTAATTGCTTAATATACATAGGCATTTCCTTCAGAAAAAGAGATATTTTGCCTATAACTACTGAGTACAAACACAACAATAAGAAATGATAGTCTAACTTGAAAATGTTTCATTTAAGAGGTAGTCTATATTCATATATAAGAAATACTTAGAAAGAAATAGAATATCTGCTTTTTTTTCTATTTGATTTTTTGCATGGTTATTTTTTCATAAGAAAGGGTATAAATATGGAGATCAGTCTCTCTACCCAAACAGGGCTTTATCACAAGAAGTATCATAACTTAGAAGTAAATACTGAAAATAATTATTGAATTACACATCAGTCTCCCCACTACAGTGCCAGATCCTTACTTTTAGAAAATATGTTTTCTATTTGGTATGCACACTGTAAAGTACAATCATAAGTATATTTCTAAATGTTTATTAAATGAATAAAAACATAGTCTCTAAGGAAAATAATGTAATGAAAATTCCTTTCCTCTAATGAAAACACCTTTCATCATACATACTACTTTCTGCTCTAAATAAGGTTTAATGAGCTTTACCTTCAATCTGAGGTTGTCTCATCTAATGCCTTTGTGATTATAACTTCATATTTTAAAAAGGAGAAGCCCTTAGTGGATAATTATCAGCAATTAAGATAAGCTTAAACATGCCATAAAGCTAAAGTTTCTGTCATGGATAATTTTCTTTCTGTCTTATGAGACAGGGCACATAGTCTGCAGTAGCATAGTTTTATTTATTTATTTTGGAGAAGAGTTTTGAGAAACATTTCCCTGGGATACTTCTTTCAAGTCAAACTGTCTGGACCAGCCATCCAAACTGAACACTTGGTATGGTTTGTCTGAAAGATATGGTCTGCTTTCTGCCACTGAATCCTGACTGTGCTAACAGCTAAGTTTCTACAACTGAGTTTCTAAATGTCTCAACTGAATCCATCTTTACTATCAGTCTTACCTTTTTTCTTTTTACCCAAATAGGCCTAGTCAATGAGACAATGCCAATAATAATTTCACATGAATAAATAACATGATCATTTTAGTTGGGTTTTATAAAATACTTTATCTTATCTTATCTTTAGTGGATTTTGCACAGTCAAGAGGACCTTGAAAGAATAAAGCTTACACTGGGCAGCCAAATTGTCACCTCAGTTTTAAATGGTACAGAATTTGTGATCTATATAGAAACCTAGAGGCATTAACAAAACTACCCAGGGAATTTAGATCAATTAGAGCCTGTTCGTATCCCCTGCAGTGCTGGCAAACCTCATAAGTTCCTTAAATACAAAGTGAAGGCATAATGCACTGAAGGGAAACAAATCCAATAGGAAGAGAAAACAGTGCCATCACAAATAGATGTTTAAACATGTTAGTTCAACTAAAAAAATTCTCCCTGGGGAATAATTTAACAGTTTTCCTACTGTGAGCGATAGTACACCTAATTAAAAAGATGCTTTCGACTTCAGAAATCTTTAGATGTTGATTATTTATTAGAAAGCTATAAAATGCTAACAGTGTAAAAAGCATTACAACACCTCCTCCAATAATTATAGTTATTTTGAAGAATAAAACGAACATTATTTATCTCTCTAGAATTTAGATCAATGGTCTTAGACTTTCATTTTTCATCAAGCTATTCCCTTTTTCTAAACAATAATCAATGTTAAGGTATGTGGGTTATGTTTTCATTTGGATTTAGTATTATTTGAAGAGAAAAATTCAAACTAATTTATCCTAGTTGACTTATATGCAAATATAAATATAATGATTGATTTATAATCCATTAAATTTATACTTCAAAGAACAGCATTTAAATGTAGGTTATCATTTTATTGCCCTTTTTGGTTCTTTAATAATAACTGAACTTTCTTTTAACTAAATGTTTCTATTTTATTAAAATGATACTTACAGATATTTTCCAGGCTAGGTTTAATTTTACAACATGCTACTAAATTGAGACAAGTTTGCCTACATAAGACTAAAGAGTACTGTCTCAGATATAATTTGTTCTATATAATAGATCTGCAATAAACTGTCTGAAAATCAAACCATCTAGCAAATACATTAGGGTAAATTTCCAGTGATTGCTTCTATAAATAATACCATCTACTTGTACAGCCCTTTATAATTTACCAAGTATTTTTCATATTGTCATTAATTAAATCACTAAATAACATTATATAGGTAATATAATGAGAATGAGAGACAGATGTTAAGACAGGACCAGAATTACTTGGTTGGCAATAACAGAGCCAGGAGCAGAACCTGAGGCTTCTAGTCCTCATTCAGAGTCATGTTTTTTGTACTGATGGATTCTCTTCCAGTGGGAAGACCTGTTGCTACACCTATCTTCTAATTGTCTGAACCTGAATCTCAATAGATTTGCTTTCCTGCCTACCTTTAGTTAAAGCATGTGCAGGTGAACCCATAAATGCCCAGAATTAATGAGACATATATACAATTTAACCTTTGTAAGGCCAGCAGTACACTGTGAAGGATATAACTAATTCATATTTGCTTTCCCGGCACTGATCAGTTTTAAGCCAGTGACTGACCTTGACTTTGGGTAGAATAAATAGGAAAAACATTCATTAAAAAATCTGTCTAAAATGTAACAGAGAAACAGAAGTAGATCAAAGATATATTTCAGTTAAAAAGACCTTCAACATTTTCCAGTAACTCTACAATTATTTAAATGATTGCTCAAGTATTATTTTAGATAAACTTTAAATACTACCACTAATTGTACACATAAAATGTATATAAAATGAAGTGTGTGAGTATATACACAAATATAAATATATATAAAATGATCCATAGTAACCTTATTTAAAGATATAAACTCAAGAAAAACTTTGCTGACATAAATTATAAATATGAGCATTCATATAGCAAGAAAATGTTCCTTTAGGAATAAAGTCTAATAATAACCAAGTTTTATAGTTTTAAAACCGATAAGGCACATTAAATGACTCTCCTCTGCCATCTCAGGATGATTAATGCAAATACCAGAAACTAAAGTCTAAGTTTAGCATTCATATGTATTTTAACCTAAAGTAGAAAACCAGAAAATTCATACCAATCAGTCACAGTATAGGAAATACTGATGACTATGTGGAGCTTATTTGGTGTTAACACTGGCTTAGTGTAGTTTCCTCAGGAAATCTTAGCAGGGGCACTGATGGTATGTGACTACAGGATGTAAGTCTATGTCCCTCCAAAGAGCAGAGGAAACAAAAATTATATAGAGACGAAAACGTGAATATATGTATATAGCTTTGAAAATAATAGAATTTTATCTGTCAAAATGAATTATAATAATCATTTATTTAGTTCTAGTCCAAATTTTTAATCTTCATAGATTCTCAAGGCAAAAGAAATTATTTTATCCTTTTTTAGGTTACTACAAGACCAACCAATCAGATTCTTCTCCTGCACCATCTAGTCACTGATATTAGTCGATTCAAACCTTCCTGTGTCCTATATGATATCAAATACAAAATTGTTTTTACCCAGGTTACCTTCTTGGGAGAAAGAACAGGATTATATAGATTATACTTTTTTAAAAAGTAACCTAAAATTTTTGCAGAAAATAGTTAATCTCAAATTACTTCACATTTTTGTTTAAAAAAAAGGTAAAGCTTTGTTTTAAAGCAAATTATTCTAGTAGATAAAAATGTACTCTGTTATATAAAAATACAATGACATATGTACTATCTCATAACTTTATGTACTATCTCAAATAAATCATCACTTAGCAACACAAGTTGTGAAATAAAATTCATATTTTATGGTAAGACAAGAAAAATTCAAACAAAAAGTTTTCTCTGCCCTTTGGCCTCCTCTCTCCCCGCAATGTGTCTTGTGTATTTGTATCATGTATTGATCAAACCTACCCCACTGGCAGAAATACCTGCTCAACCAGAAAGAGCAACATTCTCCTAGCAACAGTAAAACAACTCCTTAAAGATAACTTTCCTACTTGAATTTTTAAGGGGTCATATGACACTTACATCTGGATTATGTCAAAAATGTCATTTGATGTACAGCCCTCTATCAAAAAAAAAAACAACTTACATTTAGGGTACTTTGACTTCTGGTGGGCAGGAACAGTTCTCAGAGCTTTCTGAGATGTTCTTCGGGGTTATAAGTCAAGTTTGGCTCTAACAAAATTTTCCACTTCTTTCTTAGATCAACTGATTAGTTTTTACTGACAAAGTTCAATGTAAAGCAACACTGTACTCACATGAGGAAATATTTCCAGCCTTATTATTTTTCATACAATTACACAAACTGGTGAACTCAACCACAATTCATTCAGAAAGTGTTTTCAGTGAAAGAAAGAATGCATTTATATTCAATTGTTTATACTGGATTTTAAACTAATCATTTTCCCTTGTCCAGATGATCTTCCTCACCAAATTAAGGTTTCATATTTAAGGGGAGACATACTAAGTAAGCATACTATGTAGTAATTATCTTAAGCATCTTGCTTATTTTCACTCATAAGTAGTTACTTTCTTTCTAACAGAGTGTTGAGCTTTGAGTCCAATATTTGACCTTATGTCTATTCAAAATCATGTTTTAAACATCAAAATTAGGGCCCTTCAGATTTTCACTTACTTTGCTTTAGCTTCTGCATCTTCATATGCTTTATTAGAAACATCGTCTAATCCTCCAATCAAATGTTTGAAAGAGCTGTCAGAGAGGAAAAAAGCAGTGATTAGGATAAATCCTCAGCAAAGTGGTAACAATGACAGCATAGTCAATGATACACTGAAACAATCTAAAAGATCTAAATAAAACTGAATTCAAACATTTAATATGAGCACATTATTAAGAAACATAGCAGATAATGATATAAACTGAGAGCAAGAAACGTCTTTTAAAGTGCTGTGAGATTTTACATTTTAATTTTAAACCTCTATAATGTTAATACATGCAAATGACTTTGCTTGTAGTGAGTATTATAAAACAAAACATGCATGAAACATGTAGGATGTTTGCTAATTTAAATTTAAATGTTGCTTTGTCATTTTTACATACACTTTAAAAAATAACCTATAAAGAGAAATTTGACACTATAACTGGAAGGGGAAAGGAGTAGCTATTACATCAGGCCCTTGGAAAATGATCTCATCTGTGGAACTGGGTAACTAGAATGCTGGGCTACATACACCAAGTATGTTTTTTCTTTCTTTTTTTTCCCTTTGATGTGGACCATTTTTAGAGTCTTTGTTGAATTTCTTACAATACTGCTTCTATTTTATCTTTCGGTTTTTTGGCTGCAAGGCATGTGGGTCTTAGCTCCCCGACCAGGGATCCTGCATAGAAAGGTGAAGTCTTACCCACTAGTCCACCAGGGAAGTCTCTATACTAAGCATTTTTAATACAAAAAGGAGCCAAAAGACAATGACTAGACAAAAAGTCAAAGAATCAAGAATTGTATTCTATAGAGTATCAAGTTTTCTATAAGGAGCACATTCAGTTCAGTTCAGTTGCTCAGTGGTGTCCAACTCTGCGACACCATGGACTGCAGCACGCCAGGCCTCCCTGTCCATCACCAACTCCCAGAGTTTACCCAGACTCATGTCCATTGAGTCAGTGATGCCATCCAACTATCTCATCCCCTCCCCTGTTGTCCCCTTTCCTCCTGCCCTCAATCTTTCCCAGCATCAGGGTCTTTTTCAATGAGTCAGCTCTTCGCATCAGGTGGCCAAAGTACTGGAGTTTCAGCTTCAACATCAGTTCTTCCAATGAACACCCAAGACTGATCTCCTTTAGGATGGACTGGTTGGATCTCCGTGCAGTCCAAGGGACTCTCAAGAGTCTTCTCCAACACCACAGTTCAAAAGCAAGGGAATGGCAAACCACTTCAGTATTCTTGCCTTGAGAACCCCATGAACAGTATGAAAAGGTAAAATGAATGTATTAATGAGGGTCAAATGAATGAATGTGAATGAACACGCAATAGGCAATAGTCCATATAAGTTTCAAAAATATAATTAATGATAAAATAAATGATAAATGTAATCTCCATGGTTGAGAATAGCTCAAATATGATTTTGGCCAGCGTTCTTTATGTGGTAAAACTGCCCATTTTCTTATTGAATATTTTAGTTATTATTAGAGAAAGCCTTCTTTGAGGAAACTCCTTAAAGTGATATGGGCTTACATTGTATAGTAAAATACATATCTTTTATTATGAAAAAAATGATAACATCTGGTTGATTTCCTGTTTTCACAAATAATGTGAAATTTAAACACAGAGAGGTTATTTATCCGAAATGATATAAATTTAGAATTATAATCCATTTTCTCTGATACCCAATCCTTTCCTATATAATACTTAAATATTTTAAATACAACCAAATCTAAACACTGTGAAAAGGCAAACAGAGGAAAAAAGAGAATTAAGTGGTAAAAACAAAGAGCAAGAACTACTAAAACCTAGCTTTTCAAAAATACTGGATCTATTAACACATTTTTTCTTAAACATTTAAAGTGCACAGCAATTTGAAAACTCAAATAGCTAAAAAAATTCCTGACTTTCTCCTTCAGTTCAGTTCAGTCCCTCAGTACTCTCAGGCTCTTTGCAACCCCATGGACTATAGAACACCAGGCCTCCCTGTCCATCATCAACTCCCAGAGTTTATTCAAACTCATGTCCATCAAGTTGGTGATGCCATCCAACCATCTCATCCTCTGTTGTCCCCTTTTCCTACCACCATCAGTCTTTCCCAGCATTAGGGTCTTTTCCAATGAGTCAGTTCTTTTCAACAGGTGGCAAGTATTGAGGTTTCAATTTAGCATCAGCCCTTTCAATGAACATTCAGGACTGATTTCCTTTAGGATGGACTGGTTGGATCTCCTTGCTGTCCAAGAGACTCTCAAGAGGCTTCTCCAACATGACAGTTTCAAAAGCATCAATTCCTCAGTCTCAGATTTCTTTATATCCAACTGTCACATCCATACATGACTATTAGAAAAATCATAGCTTTGACTAGAAGGAACTTTGTTGGCAAAGTAATGACAGCTTTTTAATATACTAAGTTGGTCATAACTTTTCTTCCAAGGAGCAAGTGTCTTTTAACTTCATGGCTGCAATCACCATCTGCAATGATTTTAGAGCCCCCCAAAATAAAGTCTGTCACTGTTTCCATTGTTTCCCTATTTGCCATGAAGTGATGGTACCAGATGCCATGATCTTAGTTTTCATAATGTTAAGTTTTAAGCCAACTTTTTCACTCTCCTCTTTCACTTTCGTCAAGAGACTCTTTAGTTCTTCTTCACTTTCTGCCATAAGGGTGGTGTCTTCTGCATATCTGAGGTTATTCATATTCCTCCCTCTGCCTTTTCTAAATCCAGCTTGAACATCTGGAAGTTCATGGTTCACATGCTGTTTTTCAAGCCTGCTTGGAGAATTTTGAGCATTACTTTACAAGTGTGTGAGATGCATGCAATTGTGTGGTACATTGAGCATTGTTTGTCATTGCCTTTCTTAGGGATTGGAGTGAAAACTGACCTTTTCCAGTCCTGTGGTCATTGCTGAGTTTCCAAATTTGCTGGCATATTGAGTGCAGCACTTTCACAGCATCATCTTTCAGGATTTGAAATACCTCAACTGGAATTCCATCACCTCCACTAGCTTTGTTCGTAGTGATGCTTTCTAAGGCCCACTTGACTTCACATTCCAGGATGTCTGGCTCTAGGTGAGTGATCACACCATCATGATTATCTGGGTCATGAAGATCTTTTTTGTACAGTTCTTCTGTGTATTCTTGCCACCTCTTCTTAATATCTTCTGCTTCTGTTAGGTCCATACCATATCTGTCCTTTATTGTGCCCATCTTTGCATGAAATGTTCCCTTGGTATCTCTAATTTTCTTGAGGAGATCTCTTGTCTTTCCCATTCTATTGTTTTCCTGTATTTCTTTGCACTGATCACTGAGCAAGGATTTCTTATCTCTCCTTGTTATTCTTTGGAACTCTGCATTCAAATGCATAAATCTTTCTTTTTCTCCTTTGCTTTCACTTCTCTTCTTTTCACAGCTTTCTTTAAGGCCTCCTCACACTGTCCATTTTGTTTTTTTGCATTTCTTTTTCTTCGCGATGGTCTTGATTCCTATTTCCTGTACAATGTCATGAACCTCCGTCGGTAGTTCATCAGGCATTCTGTCTATCAGATCTAATCCCTTGAATCTATTTCTCACTTGCACTGTATAATCATAAGGGATTTGATTTAGGTCATACTTGAATGGTCTATTGGTTTTCCCTACTTTATTCAATTTAAGTCTGAATCTGGGAATAAGGAGTACATGATATGGTTCACAGTCAGCTCCCGGAGCAATGACCCTGACTTGCCCAGGAGTGTCCAGGAGTCTTCAGCAGAGGCGTGGGTGGGTGGTGATGCAGGGTTGGTGGCAGTGAGTGTAGCACTACAAGCATGGGATCTTTTGATCCCACTATCTTGATTACTTCCAGTGTAGTTTGGCCCCAGGTAAATAGCAGGGAGGGAACACAGCTCCACCCATCAATAGAAAATTGGATTAAAGATTTACTGAGCATGGCCCCGCCCATCAGAACAAGACCCAGTTTCCCCCTCAGTCAGTCTCTCTCATCAGGAAGCTTCAGTAAGCCTCTTAACCTTCTCCATCAGAGGGCAGACAGACTGAAAACCACAATCACAGAAAACTAACCAATCTGATCACCTGAATCACAAACTTGTATAAACTCAATGAAACTATGAACCATGCCATGTAGGGCCACCCAAGACAGACGGGTTATGGTGGAGAGTTCTGACAAAATGTGGTCCACTGGAGAAGGGAATGACAAACCACTTTAGTATTCTTGCCTTGAAAACCCCATGAACAATATGAAAAGGCAGAATGATAGGACACTGAAAGATGAACTCCACAGTTGGTAGGTGCCAAATATGCTACTGGAGATTAATGGAGAAATAAATCCAGAAAGAATGAAGAGATGGAGCCAAAGCAAAAACAACACCCAGTTGTGGATGTGACTGGTGATAGAAGCAAGGTCCAATGCTGAGCAATATTGCATAGGAACCTGGAATATCAGGTCCATGATTCAAGGCAAATAGGAAGTGGTCAAACAGGAGATGGCAAGAGTGAATGTTGACATTCTAGGAATCAGCAAACTAAGATGGACTAGAATGGGTGAATTTAATTCAGATGACCATTATATCCACTACTGTGGGCAGGAATCCCTTAGAAGAATGGAGTAGCCATCATAGTCAACAAAAGAGTCCAAAATGCAGTACTTGGATGCAATTTCAAAAATGACAGAATGATCTCTGTGTGTTTCCAAGGCAAACCAGTCAATATCACAGTAATCCAAATCTATGCCCCGACCAGTAATGATGAAAAAGCTGAAGTTGAATGGTTCAATAAAGACCGATAAGACCTTCTAGAACTAACACCCAAAAGAGATGTCCTTTTCATTATAGGGGACTGGAATGCAAAAGCAGGAAGTCAAGAAACATCTGGAGTAACAGGTAAATCTGGCCTTGGAGTACAGAATGAAGCAGGGCAAAGGCTAATAGAGTTTTGCCATGAGAACACATTGGTCATAGCAAACATCCTCTTCCAACAACACAAGAGAAGTCTATACATGGACATCACCAGACGGTAAACACCGAAATCAGACTGATTATATTCTTTGCAGCCAAAATGGGG